TGTTTTTGAGATTTCTATATTCACAGAGCATTTTGAGAAAATAGCGGAGAAATGATAAGAATATTTTGGTTTACTCACTGATCTGCAATCTTGTGGTTGTGGTGTAACCTTGAGAGTTATTATATCTTTCAAGTTGCACATAAGTTTCATTTTTATCCACTAAGTTTTACTTTCACTAAAAAAGGAAAAAAATCCTTTATAGGATATTCTATTCTGTTTTTGATATTCCAATTGCTTTTACTTTCCTTTTCTTTCAAAGCAGTTTGACAATTGGTTAAAGCAGTACTTGGGAAATGTTTTTATTTTCCGTTTTCTTGTAGCAGTAACTATATTTGTTTCCTTCCTGAAACTGATCATAGAATAGAATCCTCTCTGTAGATTCCTTTGGATTACCATGTCAGTGTATTGCTTCAGATAAAGATAAAGATAAAAGCAGTGGTCATACTGAGGAAACTAGAAGCATTAATCTGCCAGTAGAAGAACAATCTGCAACCAAGTCTGGTCAGACAGGTGATACTCTTGTAGGTGGTGTAGGTGTTGCCTTGCTTTCCATTTTTTTCATCTTTACTTTAATGGTAAAGTGTGGCCCTAATTCCTTCATTCCTTGTGCTGTGTTTCAGTTGATGGTTTTTTGTTGTTGTTGTTGTTGTTCATGCCATTCTTGATTCCATTTTTTTGTTGTTTTTGTTTTTGTTTCCCTGTTAAAAACACTTTCGAGTGAAATATTTTTTTTCTATCTTTTCAATGTATGGAAAGCTGATATAACTTTCTTGGTGTTTGTAACACAGTGTATAAGATTTACCCGATAACAGAGAACGATAGAACATAATCCGTCTGTCTGTGTTACTTGCGATCAGTTACATTCCTTGTGGTCATGCAGTTTTAATTAATAATCTTGTCTCTAATATCCTCCCTGCTTATTGATTATTTTAACTAGACATTTTTAAAGTTTCTCATTCTGTTTGTTATTTTTCATGTGTGTTTTATGATGATATATTTACCCAAATTAACAGGGAAAACTTAAGTTTGATTAATTTCCAGATATCCTAGCAAAGTTTTATGTAGAGTTAGTTGTTATTGTTCCATTTTCTTGTGCAATTTATCAATGAGCTCTCTAAGTGTTTTGTGATCTCTGTTACATTTTCTTGATTAAAGCCTTTGATTTTGTCCTTTTTGCTTTTATTATTAATACTGTCCATTATAACTATTTGAGTTCAGACAACAAATACTCATCTGTCATTATTAAAAAGACGACTAAGGTAAAGGTTGTATAAAGAGTAAGAGATGGGAAGATTTTAAGAACCTTTGCTCTTATTTTTGCCATTCTCCTATTTTTCTTCACAGAGGTCCTGTCGAGTATGTCGAGCATGTCCTCCGAGCCGGGACAAGACCTAACGGGTTCGCCAGACAAGAGTCTAGAAGGGAATGCCACAGCTTCGCCAAGAACACCGAGGTAAGTGTGTGTTATTAAAGAATTATTGTGTACTTACTTGGTTTTGTTATTATTTTATTTTTTAAAGGAATATTTATTTTATTACAATTACATTTATGATTTATGTAGATTATTTGGTGTAAGCTTATGAGTTATACTCTCTTAAAGGCAGGAAAGAAAGAAAAGTAATAAATTCTTATTTGAGTAACATCCCTCTACACAATTTTAGTGGCCTGCAATTATTGTATTGTTGATAATAATGAATAGCAGTAGTAGAGGGAGACTTCAATTTGTGTGTCATACGTTTTGTCTATCCTCATACTTGTCTCTTTGAGTAATAGAGTGAGCTGATATGTAATTGCAGTGGAAGTTAGGAATTCATAGTAAGATTCCAATCATATTGATGACATTAGGATCAGTCATAAACTGTAAAAGGTGTAGATAATCACACAAATCTCTTTTCTTTTTTTTTCTTTTTTCTTTTTCCCCCTCTCTCTCGCCTTCAATCCTTACCCTCACCTTGCAGCAAGAGGCCGCCACAGCTCTCAGTCGTAAGTGTACAGGCAACCAACATCCCTCCTCGTGAAACGGTGACATACACTAAGGGGGTGCAGACCTCATCGTCGGGTGATGGCCACGGTTAGTTTGGGGTGATTTGGAATATTTTAATATACATATATATATACGTTTGTTATTACTTTTATATATATTTATATATGATGAAAGATTTAGTGAAGCTCATACAGTCAGAGGGTAGCTCCTCCTAGGCAGTTCATTAGTGCCACAATAGGATTTTTTTTGGCTTATTTTATAGCGAGTGAATGAGCTGATGTCAAGAATGTTATTATGGGCACTATTTGTTTGATTTATTGTTATTGTACTCTATTTTCCTTTGTGATTTTGCATTATCAGTTACCTTGAGAAAACAGTAGTCCCATAATGGAGGCATGTTGGCATGTGGTGAATTCCTCGTAGAGAAGGATGAATATAATTCTGATTATTATATTTTCACTTGCTAGTTTTTGTTCTGAAGCAAATTTTCAATAATGTTGCTATATCAAGGAGTTTCCGAGCTTGCATATGATTTAAGGATATTTAAAAGCTTTTAGCATAATTAGCTTGGCTCAGATGAGTTGATTAAAGATTAGTTTTATTAAAAAGGGAATGTATAACTTAGGCATCTTTTCTTTGTTATTGATACATTTTTCTCACTGTCTTCAGATGGCAGATAAGTGTACACTTCTGTATCTTAATGGTTTATTTATTATTTGCAATTACTGTTGTAAAAAGAATTGAAGTGCTCACACAAATATTTTTGTTACATTTTCATTCACATTTATGTAGTTGACATTATCTATCTCACTTGTGTTCATATACTCACACATACATCACCCACATATAAACATGTTCCATTAATTTCGTTCGTTACTTTTGGATGGTTTCCCATTTAATTAGGCCCCCATTCATTGAACTGGCAAATTGGCCATTTAGTTGGTTCCCGTAGAATATAGAAATGCATGGAAATACCGTTTTCAAGACTAAGGGAAATTTCAATATCCTGTTATTTTACCCCTTGAGATATTTTCCTACAACAGAAGTCTTTTTATCCATAGTTATTTCCTTAAATTAAAGAGTAATGTAAATGCAAATATCATCTTTATTTTATAGATTTTATAACTAATCTTTAAATGGAATCCAAATACCAGATGATACCCCATTCCCATTTTATCTGCTTGGAATCATCAGAATCTTTTATACTGATTGATGAAAAAGTAAACATGAACAGATTAAGAAACATTAGTACAAGATCATATCATTCTAGTTCAATTTCAATTTCATTTTCTACATTTACAACAGATCTTACTAATCTATACAAACACAAATTTGTTATTGCAGTTCATTTCTTATCTTGCATGATGGGTTCACAGGAAAGGGAGTGTCAGAAAACAGTATTATGATGCATGTTATTTTTCATATTCTTTTGTAAACAGATTTGCAGGCTACTATTGTATATTTCTCATTCCTTTAAGGGGCATGCCCTTTGGCATACACTTATGAATGGCTGAGATGAGATGGGTCATTTGGATACAATTTTTTTTATTCTATATTATAATCATTATTAGTGACCAGGCATGTGAATCATCTTTCTTTTTTTAGAGATAATTGCTACTTTGCAGATGGTTTAGAGATTTAAGAAGAAAAAATATCAACATTTTGGGTTCACTTTTATGACTCCCACATCTCTATAATTGCCTATTTAGTTGGGCTGTCCTTAGATGTAATGCTGCCTGGGGGAAAGAAGCAAATGTTCAGTGATCTTTGTAGGTTCCAGCCTGTGAGGTTCCTTGAAAAACTCTTTTAGAGGCTTAACTATGTATATATAGAGACCAATATGACTATATATATATATATTGTCCTTCTGAAAAGTGACTATGCCAAAATTTTCTATAGTTCATTGTAATGGTACTTGACTCTTTGACTTTAGAATGTATTATTTTTTCTGGCATAATCTTTTTGTATTTTTGGATGAATGTCATGATTTTTTAGCATTGAAGGCAAGGGTTTTTTTTTTTTTTTTTTTGCTCCTTCTAATCCATGTGTAGACTAAGAGACAGTGCCGCTTTGGAACCCAAATTGTCAGGTGCCATGCTGTCGTTCCATTGCATGAACAGTATTAAGAAAAAAAAGAGAGAGAGAAATTGTGATTTTGAGAGAGAAGATATTACCTTTTCAAGATTTTTTTTTCATGGATAGAGGGTATATATATGATGAAAAACATGCTATGGATGATAGTAGTATATACCTAAAAGGGAGAGAGAGACCAATTATATGTAATTATCTTCTTTTTCATAATTGCAATTTTCAACCTGCTCACAATTACTCCAAAATTAGGGGTTTTATTCTCCATCATGTAGTTTTTATAAGCTGTTGTCACCTTGCACATCACCATTACTTTGATGAAAATTATGTAGGGATTTTATAGTAAGAGCCTCATTATTAGAGTATTTTGAAAAAGTTTATTCTTAAGATTATTGAAGAGAGGTTAAATACACACTCTGAATTAGCTCTGGAAGTTCTTTAGCTTTCGAAATTTGTGTTAACCAAATGAAGAAGTTTAGATCTTCAAATTGCAAGCTTCTTAAATAACAGATTTTCTAGCCATGTCTTGTGTCTTACTAATGCAATACTGAAATAAGGAAAGTAAATAAGGATGATCTGTCAAGGATGAATGTGTGCTAAACTAGTAACAGTTTTTTTTTTGTGTGTGTATACAGCATACTTACCATGGCACTTTATCTGACCAGGTTGCTTGCTTACTGCATGCTGCATAAATAATTTGTTATATTGATACATTTGTCTCTCTCTATACATTCCTACTAATGCTAATGAGCCAAAAGTAGAATCAGGCTTTTGACTTCCACTGGAGTCTGATATGAACACCCTTTCATCCAAGGTAGACTGTCAATTGACTTTTTATTTGACACAAGCTAACCTCCTTTTTTGGCTTGGCTTCTTTTGGTAAACTGGATTTCCCCATTTCATTTTGCATGGTGTCAAGCTGGACACA